GTGCCCCAAAAAGACCATCGAGAGGCCTCCTCCTCCTCCTTCTTCTTCTCCTCCTCCTCCTCTTCCTCCGTCTCGCTGGCCACGAGCACGCCAACAGGGCAACAGTGATGCAAGATGAGCCGGTGGAATGAGCGAAGCGACTGTTCAGTGTTGGATCAGGCAAGCCAGCTCTCCTTGCGAATTCTCGGCCGAACCGAATCCCGAACCGGATCCTTCTCCTCCTCCTCCTCCTCCTCGTCCTCCTTCCTCTCCTCCTGCTCCTCCTGCTCCTCCTGCTCCACCTCCTCCTCCTCCTCCTCCTCCTCCTCCTCCTCCTACATAACTCCCTTCCTCGCTCATCCCTCTGCTTTATTTTGTTTGCTTCCACTACCCCCTCTTTCATTTCCACTTGGATGCATCGTTATAACTCAAATCCCGATTCCGATGTCCTCCTTAACCTTATCCGTCCCTCCCATCCAATTCGTACCCTTCCCCTTAGATGTGTCCTACTTCTAATCCCTCCCACTCCCCCATTTTGACCAACACCCCTTCCCTCCCTCGTTCCGAAAATCAGAGCGTGGGTGCGGCCGCAGACAAGAAGGATGCCAAGTTACCTCCGCAGGGCGCCTGTGAAGATGCTCACAATGCCAAACATCAGCCACGAACATCGTGGTTGCACGTTAGAAAAAAATACGGGCATGATCTGAAACGACTTCTTCTTGACGAGCTCTCATACCATACTAAGACCCCATGTTCTTATTCGGCGTTTCGACATTGGGCAGAAGGGGGGGTAGGCGGGGATCTGGTTCTGGATCTCTGCTCAGTGCGACTGTTCGAAACAGTGCTGCCGGAGGAGTCATCTGCGAAAACGGGGGAATCCTTTTGGGAGTCCTACGTATGGTCCGTATTGGGGGGCAGAGGAGGGGTCCGATGTAGCAATCATATGGAGAATCTATTGCGGGAGTCCCACGTGTGAGTCCGATGGGGAATCTTATGAGGGAATCCTAAGGTGGGGCCTTATTGGGGAAACCTTAAACAAGAGGGAATCGATGATGAGACTGGGGAATAAGAGGAATCCTATGCGGGAGTCCTACGCGAGAATCCCATGCGTGGGTCCTATGGGAAATCAGATGGGGGAATCCGATGGGTGAATCCCATTACGAATCGTATGGGGAAATCCTATGAGGGAGACTTCTGGGGGGATCCTACGGGGGAATCCGAATCCAACTAGAGTCTATGTGGAATCCGACTGGAAAGTTCAGGAACTGCAATTCCAAAGGATCCCGCAGCAACTGGCCATCCCTGGGGATCCGTTTTGTTTGCAACGCATTTGGCGCCCTGGAGCTCCTTTCGCATTTTCCCGAGGGGCGCCCTGAAAACAGTGCACGGCTGCGCGAAGCAACGATTCGCGCGTCCACCAGGGGTGGGGGTGAGGGGTGAGGCGGGGCCCGGTGCTTCACTACTTACTCCACCTGCTTGAAACAAGCGTCAAAAGCAGACCAGGTCGACTCCGTGGGGTGGGGGGGGGGCGAGGGCCCACGCCCACCGGCAAAACAACGAATAAGAAAACGATCACTGAACAGCGCGTGCTGTCTGATACACTCTTCCAGAGACACGGCGACCAAAAATCGACGCTGAGCGCAGCACGGAGCGGGAGGAGGAGCACTCGCCTTCGTTCGGGCGCCCATTCCTCGTGCATGCTTCGACGTCGTGCCTTTTACTTGTTCGCCAGGTGATGACCCAAGGTGCTCCTCGATGGTCCTCGCCGAGAGAGGAGTGCACGAGTCCGAGCGACGACGGGAGCGGGCGCAGGAGGAGGATGTGCTGGGGCGCCACGCCCCAGCGCCTCCAACTGCCAGCCAAAGCCGGGCTGGGGGCGGGCGCACCCGTGCGGAGGCAGAAGCGGCGGCCTCGAGAGCAGCGCTGACCCGGAGGGGGGCGGCCGCTGTAGAAAAGCTGGCGCACTGCATGCAGTTGTCGGTTGCCATGGCGGAGACGCCGACGGCAAACACAAGAGGAGGTTGGAGGGGGGGAGGGAGGGACGGAGGAGGAAGGTGAGGAGTGAGGAGGTTGAGGAGTCAGGAACGAGGGTGGAGAAGAATATCTGACAGTGAGGAGGGTGGAAGGAACGGGGAGGAGGGGGGAGGAGAGACAGGATGGGGAGGAGATCCGCGTGGGGGAAGGAGGAAAAGGTAGCGTAGAAAGGAGATGGGGGGAGGGAAGGAAGGAGGAAACGGAGGAACAGGAGGGGGAAAGGAAACGGGAGGGCTGCGAGGGGACGAGGGGGGAAGGGAGCGAAGGGAATAGAGGAGACAGTTTGTTTGAATCGGCGATAGCCCGGGTTATCCGGGGGGGGGGAGGGGGCCGGCCGATAACCTAACCGTCGCGCTGTGGGCAGCGCCCATACATATGCCCGCGCGCACCGGTGCTGCGGCCCCTACAGCTGCTAACGATGCTGCCGCGATGCTACTACTGATGCTGCGACGATGCGGGCACCGGGCACCGTCTGAGAATGGCTGGCGATGTCTGGACAGCTCACATTGGAGTACGCGGGATGTGATTACTAAGCGTAGCCGCGAAGTCTTGTGTACACTATCTATAGAACACGAGTGCACCACACTGCCTGTGAGCACTACAAAATATGCGCGCCACGACGGTCTTGCACAGCACAGGTGCTGCTGCTTCTGCGTGCACCACAGCGCCTGTGGACACCCCGATGCCTGTGCACACCACTGGAGCAACGTGCACCACAGCGTATGGGAAACATTTGCGCCACAGCGCTTCCGCGCACCTCCAAGGTCCCGCCGAGGCCCGAAATGTGGAAAATCCCCGGGGGCCCGAACGTATCAAATTCAATATGTAAGTTATTTGTGATGATTGATTTTTCTGGCCACGGGTACGGTCCCCCCCGTGTTTGGCCGACCATGTCTGTGGACACCACAGCGCCTGCCTAGCGTGCGCCACGACGCCTTTGCACACCACAGCTGCTTGTGTACACCGCAGCGCACGTCTACACAACAAAGCCTGTGTACACCACAATGCCTGCGTACAACACAACACCCGTGTGCACTGCAGCGTCTGTGCTGCTTCAGCACCATACTCGTGCACCAAAGCTCCAATGCACCAAAGTGCTTGTGTACACCACAGAACTGCGTACGGGTCCCCGGCAGGACCGAACTCCAGAAATCGTGGGGAATCCGAACGTATAAAATCCAATATTTAAGCTGCTTGTGATTAGTAATTTCTCCTGCGCAGGAAACGGCCCCGTCTTTTGAGCCCACAACGCCTGTGTGCACCATAGCGAATGTGCACAGCAGCGGATGTGTACACCGCAGCGACTGTGTACACCACAAGGTGCGGTACACCGCAATGACAGTGCACCACAGTGCTTCTGTACACCACCATGCCTGGGATGCCTGCGTACATGATAACTGATGTTGCAGCAACAGTTGAACATACCACAAAGCCTGCCTTCACCATATTGCCTGGGTGCATCACGGTGCCCGCGTGCACCGCGCAACCTGCGTGCACTTATGTTTGCGTGCACCACAACGCCTGCGTACACAACATATCTTGCTGCAACAGCAACATATGCGCGCACCAAATCGCCTCGCTGCCTGTGCACCACGCAATGCCTGTATACGCACTGCTCACGTGTACGTCCAGATGCCTATGGACGACGTCGGTCGTCGTCGGTCGTCGGTGTCGTCGTCTCGTCGTCGTTCGTCGTCGTCTATCGTCATCTATCGTCGTCTGTCGTCTGTCCTCTGTCGTCTGTCCTCTGTCGTCTGTCGTCGTCTCCCCGTGCCACTCTAAGCCACAACGTTTCGCCAACGTGCATCCAAACACCAGCATGCTGTGGCGAACACCACAGTGCTGTTGAACACAGCACTCCCTGCAAGCTCCCTGCGCCCCCCCCCCAGACCTGCACAACCGGCTAGGTTGGGTTATCCTGGGGGTAGGGGGCGGGCGAGCCCGATAACCCGGGTTATCGCCGGACCCTAAAAGAAACTGTCTCCAGGAGGGCATGGGCGAAGGGAGCGGAGAGAGAGAGAGAGAGGGAGGGATAGAGAGAGGGAGAGAGAGAGAGAGAGAGAGAGAAAAAAAAAAAAAAGATGGGGACGGGGAGACGGAAGGGCAGGACGGGACGGGAGGGGAGGACTCCCTCGGATGGGAGAGGCGGGACGAAGGAGCCAACAGGAAACCGAGAAGCACGGAGGCCCGAGGATCGAGCGAGACGTTCTGGACGTCCCCAGGGCCTCCCGAGGCCTCCGGAGCCCGGAGGACGGGGCGATGGGGCGACCGAGGAATCGGGGCCACAGGCGAGCCCTGCCCCCGCCCCACACGAGTTCCGAGGGGAAGGGCGGGGTTCACGTCGCTCGGGAGCTGCCGAACGAAGTGGGCCCCACCCTCCTCCTCAGAAATCGTGGGGGGAGGGTGGGGTCCACTTCGCTCGGGAAAGTGGACCCCACGCTCCTCCTCCTCCTCCTCCTCAGGAATCGTGGGGGGCAGGGGTAGGGTTCGCGTGTGGCCCCCTGAGGAGGGCAACATGCCCACGCCACGGTCACCCCCCTGAGACGCGCCAGTCGCCACCGCTGCCAGGCACGCGTGGGGGGCAACGAGTGACTACCTACCAAACCACCCCAACCCAACCCGAAGACCCGAATTTCGGGTTGGGGGGGGTATGGGCTCCATATGTGTTTTTTCGATGTTCGCGGACCCCCCCCCACTAGAAATCGAGGGTAAATCTGAGCCTTCGGGTTGGGTTGGGGTGGTTTGGTGGGTGCCGAACGAGAAGGGGGAACAGGCTCAGGAACGGGGGGGGAACGTCGGCCTGGAATCGGCGATGCATCGCCGATGCGTCGGCAACAGGCCCCTCATCGCGAATCCGCACGGTCATGGGCGGGGTGGGCTATCGGGCCCCTGATCGGCGATGACTGGGCGATTGGGGGTCGATGCATCCCCCCCTGAGCATATCCTCTCCCTAACCTCGACTCTGAACGTGGCACACCGAGAGATGCGCTGCACTGCCCGTCCCGGTGACCAGCTGATTAGCGTTTCCTCTGGCGCCGTTCACCTCCACGATGCGGTCGCCCTGAGCCGGAAGAATGGCTGGCAAGGGTCTGCAATGCCGGCAACCGCAAAAGTGAGCGAAGACGTAGACGGATGTCACCGGGAAAGAGAGAAGATATCAATGACACGATGCCGATGGTAGCCCATCAGCGTGTTAGTCCATCGTGGTTGTCCGAAGGCCTGGTGCTTAACGCTGTTAGGTTCCCCACGGAAACGCGTCATTGATACTGTTGTTGCTCCCCAATGTAATGCGCAAGGATACGGCACACAAAGGCATAGGACCCCGTACATGCTCAGCTGTCACAAAGAAACATGTCACATGATGTACACTCTCACTCAGAGTGTGAGAAGGTTTCCCATCAGCAAGTAAACAAATTCGCGAAGGACTAAAGCAATCTTGGCGACATGGGAAGCAAATTTGTGACTGCTCTCAGAACCACGAGACGGTACATAAGTAAGAACCATGGGTCATGAGAAACCACAATGGCTAAAACAATATGTACTGGCCCAGATATCAGCCACCGTGCTGTAGCTAAGCTGGAGCGTGTTCGAATGCTTGGTGATTGTATGATAGGGTTCATGTATTTCTCCTAGGCCGCCGATGCGAGGGGGCGGTGCCTGGAGGAGAGAAGCGTGGTCGCGGAGAGGAGCGGGTAGGTTGCGTTGATGCTATGTACTGTTTGATACAAGTGCGTATCGATACATGCTTGTCCTCTGTGCTGTATCACGTCTTCATGATTTGCGTGGTTCGTGTCGTGGCTTGATTTGTTGGTGCATTGATGGGTTGGTGCCCTGCTATAATGATGCATCATGTGCTGACGCAAAGATTTCCAACCTTCTCACAGTCGCGGGGGCTCCAAGCTGGCCTCCGCAGTTGCCTCATCCCATCTGGTGGGAGACGTAGAAATCCTGAACCTATCCCATCCTGGAGTGCGGCATGACCCTCCACCCTGGATTACATGTCTATGAATGATCCAGGCTTGCACCACCACCCCAATGCTTATAGGATCGAGCACCGTCTCCCGCAGGGTGGGGATGCCCATGCCCGTGAGCCGCGCGAAGGCCTCGCGAATGGGATCGCTCCCCCAACACCTGCGGTCATGGCCCTGCGGGCGTGGCGTGGTGGACGGTGCCGGTGCTCCCCCTGCCTGTGAGTGCGGGGTGGTTAGTCGTCGTCGTCGTCGTCGTTATTCGTCGTCGTCGTTATTCGTCGTCATCGTCATCGTCGTCGTCGTCGTCGGCGTCGTCTTCCGTCGTCGTCGTCATCTTCCGTCGGCGTCGGCGTCGGCGTTGGCGTTGACGTCGGCGTCGGCGGCGTCCTCGTCGTCGTCGACGTCGTCGTCGTGGTCGTCGTCAGCGTCGTAGCCGCCGCCGCCGCCGCCGTCGTCGTCGTCGTCGTCGTCATCTTTGGCCATTGGCGTTGGCGCTGGCGTCAGCGTCTGCGTTGGCGTTGTCTCCGTCGTCGTCGTCGTCGCCGCGGTCGTGGTCATGGTCGTCGTCGTCGTCGTCGTCGTCTCCGCCGTCGTCGTCGTCGTCGGCGGCGTCGGCGACGGCGACGGCGCCAGCGTCGTCGTCGTCGTCCCCTCCCCCCATCCCATCTGCGGGGGCTGTGGAACCCTGGAGCCCATCCCACCTGGGGGCGTTGCTGTGAACCCTTGACCCGCGGTCATGTGTGGCCCTCTTCGGAAACCACCAGCAGGGGCTGCATTTGAATGGGACATCGTCGTGCGTACTGCGTGCATGGCCATGGCAAGCGCTCCAAGCGTCCAGCAAAGGGGGGCTTACAAATATTATGAAAGTCTTGACCCTTCGCGTGCCACCAGCAGCCGCCGTACTGGCGACTCACTCCGCTGCATTCGCACACCCTGCCGCTTGTCCACTTCGGTTCACACTGCGGCGCCTATGTGCGTTTGCTTGTGAATTTAGTTCATTTTGTTCTGTGCATGTGCAACTGCGCACTTGCTGTGCAGGTGCGAACTGGCTTGCCAACGTGGCGGCTGTGTTCGCAAATTCGCATCGTGCCGCGTGCCCAGGACTTTGCTTCTCGCCGCCTGACCGTTGTCGCGCGGCCGCGACCGAAAAAAGTACCACCAGCAGCTTGGTCTCTTTGTTCGACGGGTGGGGGACAGCCAGGTACGCAGTGGGGGACCTACTACATCGTATAGGACGTGCTGACCTCTTCCGCACCTCCAACCTCGTAGAACACGACACCAACATGGCACAAAGAGTTACACAGCACTGGGAACGCCCTGAGACACGGGCACGGGACGGCGGACCGCCGCACCGAATCCTCGCCTCAGACGTGTGGGACCTCTTCAGGAGGACACCGGGTGCTAAGACGACGTTGTGGGAACATTTCGTCTCCACCCTGGAGCCCAACGCCCTCCTCCTGATCATTGGGGGCAGCCCATGCAACAATCTGTCGTACGCAAGGTCTCGACGCGGCCAGGATGGCTTAGCCGGGGACAAGTCAGTCCACTTTTTCGCTATTCCCCTGGCATGGTCCCTCGCCAAATGCTACCGCAACGACATCACTATACACGTGGTCGTTGAGAACGCGGGCTCCATGCGCAAACCACACTGGGAAGGCATACGGAGAGCCATTGGCGAGGTCCCAGACGATTGGGTGGTCAGAATCGACGCGGGAAAATGGGTGGTCAGCCCGAGAGACATGCTGTGGTTTGGCTCCTTCCCTAGGTCCGACCTCGACCTGCACTTCCCAAGGCTCTCCTCCCCTTGAGACAACGAATGGGCCTTCCACTTTGAAGGTGCAGTTCCGACATGGACCAGGTCTCGTGGGGACCCCAACGAGGTGCCACCAAATTGGTTTCAACTGCATCCCAAACATTTGCTCTATCACTCCAACTGCAGCCATCCATGGCTTTCCATCTGGCTCACCGAAGTGAGCACAAGGATGCCAAACAAATCCTGCGAGAGACCAATGCCAACGCCGCGCACAAGAGATGCGAAGAAGGCCTGGAACACGTTCTCAGCGGGAAGGAGAGAGATGGACAACAGGAAGAGGAGCAAGTAAGATCCTGGGGACGATGGCTTATGCAGGAGGGTTGGAAACACGGGTTCCGAGTACCAACTCCCGAAGAACGCGCACGTGCCACCGGGATGCTGGACTACTACCACGCGATGGGGCTAGCCAAGCGAGAACTGTACGACGCCGTGGGAAATCACTTTGACTCGCGATCCCTCCAACGAAGGATCGTTGGGCTCCTGCGGGACGTAAGCCTTGCAGCTGAGCCCGGAGTCTACGGAGATCACCGAACACCGCGCGTACTCGACATCCAGGCTGGCTTCGACCGAACCGTCGCATTCGCCAAACAGCACTGCAGGTTTGATCGGCTTGCTAGATCACCTTTTCCAGATGATACACGACTTTTCTGTGAGGCTGGGAACATTCCACCTCTTTACCCACCGACGGAAATCCTCCCCTAGACAACCTGGGGGCCCCCCTCTCGCTACGAAAGGCTCTGGGGTCCCCCGACGGGGCAGCACTCGTGCCAGCTGCCCGCAGTCGCGCTTGGAAAATTGCGGCACGATCTCTCTCTACTCAAATCCTTGCTCACCATGCTGCCCCGGTACGCTCGCCACGCGCCCTCTGGGCCGCGCTCCACAGCGTTCAGTGGCAGAACCCTACCTGGCGTGACCTTTACGCCGACTTCACTGTCGACGACCTGCTCGCAGGCCTCCAGAGAGCTCGTGACACCGGGAAACCACGCCTAGCATGCTGGAGCGCTCGATACCTACGAAACTCCACAGCACACAATAACCAAATCAAGCATGCTGTCCTGACTTAAGTCACCACCAGGGAACGCGCCTGCCTTCTACAAGAGACACAGTGGTCTGAGCTCGAATGTGGCGTCTGGGCCAGCCTCTTTCAAGCACGTACCCTTATCTCCACGCCGGCGTTCAGGGGGCCAGGAGGTGGCCTCGCAGGTGGGGCAGCCATCTTGATACCTCATGGGATGCCGCTGCTTGCCTCTGGCACACTTGTCCCAGGATGCGCTGCATGGGCCGACGTTGCGCGTCAGGCTCATCAGCATTTAATCTACCACCGTCACTCAAGAGTGAAACCATACAAGGGGCCCGCGAGGCACTTGAAACGCTCGATGATGTCCCAACCTTCTGGGGAGGAGACGTCAATCTGCAGTGCGAAAACCCGCGCGAACGGGAATGCGAGGACGCGGCTAATCTCGGGGATCTCCTTGCCTCCACCAACTCAAGCATCGCGCGCGCAGACGGGCCCACTCGCGCCGACCGCGACAGCGATTCCGCCATCGACTTAATGGCATGCCCCACAGCGTCACTGGCGGCCTATCAAACCAGCAAGGTGTTGAAGCCTTCTCTGTCGGACCATGCCATCATGCATCCCGATCCCGATGGCAGTCGCCCTGCCGGACGCGACCACACTCTCACGCCTACAGAGTTCCGAGGGCCCCCCACCGAGGCCCACGCCGAGCTACGACGTTTGTACACCTACTTCGAAAAAATGCTGCCATTCCAGAGGTCGACCTCACTGGTTTGATACAACCCATTGACTGGACGCGGCCTGCGGCTGCGGGCTTGCTGCCAGACCGACACGATCTCCAAGACGGCGGCGACGAAGAAGTAGACGCCCAGCCACATCTGCCGCAACAGCCACAGAGAGAGGACGTCACCCCGCCCCATCTGCCTGCTCTGGCGATGCTAGGGGGACACATGCTCTCGTCGGGCCTACAGCAGTGGTGGAAGCAATGGACCAAGAAACGTAAACAGACCAGCCCGGGAGCACTGCTCGCTCAAGCTGCTCGCGACACTGGTACGCTGCAACCTCTTGGCCCCCTAGCCGATTGGTTAGAGCGCTCTGGCCGGGGCGGAAGGGAGCTCGCACAGGCGCAAGCCAACCTGTGGCTCCGAAGATGGGACCTCGAGATGGCCCAGAAACGCGCCAGCACCCTCACACCGTCCGAACGGGGACCAGGTGCCGAGCGACAGCCTCTAGCAGCCCATTCCAAGACTGGCAGGATAATTTTTTCGGAAACTGCGCAACGTTACCGGCATCCGGGACAACGACGGCAATTGGACCGAGAAGCACGCCGAAGTTGACCAGATCCTGATCTCTGATCGTCCCTTCTGGATGACAGCCCGACGAGCGCGCGGCCTTCCGACGAGCGCCGGGGGCTTCTCCGAAGGCGTCGGAGGCTTCCAGGAAGGCCTCGTGAAGGCAAGAGCAAGAGAGCTTCCCGTCCCCCATCGTGCCACCCATGTACCGCAGGCGTCCATGGCAATACCAACACCCAAAATCGGCCCAAACCGACGGCGAAACGGGAACCGACCGACACCGATGGGCCAGACGCAGCCCAGAAGGACGCAACGACGCAGAAGTCGACCAAGCCGACGACGACGCAGCCGAACCGATCGCACCGCGGACACCCCTGCTTCTGCGCGCCGCCGACCCCCGCGGCGGGGCGTACCGGATGCATGACCGCGTTGCAGTTGTTCTCGTTCCACTGCTGGAAGAGGCCAGGGGTGATCCTGTCAATGTGCAACGTGGCGCCGTCCTTGTGTGGGGCCGGGTCGCGCTCTCGGCAGCAGATGTCGGCGAAGGTCGGAAGCTACACTGAGCACTCACGCGCGCAGGCGAGAAGGAGGCAGCGCAGCTAAGGCAAAGGCGGCAGCAGGATGAGCGGACAGGAGGGCCTAGCTGGCTACGGTATGCTCGTGCCGCTGCGACTGGCGCGTCGGTTTCTGACACGGCGTGGGTTGCTCAACCTGACAGCGACTTTTCGATGGCACAAGCCCCTCGGTATCGGAGGATTTCGGGCCACTGGTGGCGTTCAACGTTGAATGCCCGCGCCGGGGCATCTGCGACGGTAAGGAGGCACGAACCTACCGTACCCGATGCTTATCGGTCACACTATTCTCCTCCTTCTCCTCCACCTTGTCAACCCAGTCACTGCCCTCCCTCTCTAGAAACCTCGGGATTCTCTGAACACGTTCGAAATCCTTGACCCCCCCGTCTTTCTCCTCTGGCAGGCCTCGGCCAAAGAAGCCGCCGACCCTGTCGGCGTGTGTGAGGGGCCTGTCTGTTCGAGTCGTCGTCTCCGTCAGTCGTCGTATCTTTCGTCCCCTTTCCCCGCACCCTCCTCCTCAAGCTTGTCAGCGAGAGAAGCATCTAACAGTGTCGTCATCGAGTCGAAGGGAAGCCCCTTCCCTTTGATCCCTCCCCCGCCGGGGGGGGAGGAGGGGGGGTCAGATACGCAGCCTCCCCTGGGGGTCCCGGGGCCTCAGGAAGTACCAAGACAGGCCATGAGTGCCCCAAGAAGCCTCCGAAACAGTCCAAGAGGGACCCCAATCGCCAAACGATCGGTCCCAAACTCTTCACGCACTTCAGACTGCCCAGGAGGCCTCCAGGACGCCCCAAGAAGCCTCCAAGAGCACTCCCGAGAGGGCCCCAAGAGGCCAAATGCATTGCTTGTTTTGTTCCGTTGATGTTGTAAAGATGATATGGGCGTTCTCGCCTTTATCACTTCCCGTCGCTCCAAGACGGCGCAAGAGGTCCCCAAGATCGCAGCAAGACGGCCCAAGGGGCCTTCAAGAGGCCTCCCAGAGGGCCTCAAAACAACCCAGGAGGACCCCAAGACAGCCCAAAACGCCTCCGAGACGACCCAAGAGGCCCCCAAGACGGCTGCAAGAGCGTGCCCAGATGGGGGATCCGAACGGACATTTCGAGCCCTGGGTCCCGAGGGGCTCCCAGGAGGCCCCAAGAGGTTCCCAAGAGGCCCCAAGAGGCCCAAAAGAGGTCCCCAGGAAGGCCGAGGAGGTCCCCAAAAGGATCCGAAGAGGCCCCCAAGAGGCTCCCGAAAGGCCCCACATTTCCTCCCCCGAGGCCCCCGAGAACCGTCCGAAGAGATCCAAGAAGCATCCCTGAGGACTCTGGCCAACGTCAGCGCCGTGGTTGTCGTTACCGCCTCTGTTGTCGTCATCGACGTCTCCCTTCAGGGTCGGCGGCACCGGCCGTAAGGCCTTCGCAATGCTCGAGGCAGCGGTCATATCCCTCACCTTCCCCCCTCCTCCTCCTCCTCCTCATCCTTCTCGTCCTCCTCATCCTCCTCCTCCTCTTCCTCCTCCTCTTTACCCAACTCGGCGTGAAGGCATGGGGGTCCTGAGGGAAACGGGGTCATGGCCTTCCAAGCGTTCCAGCTTCTCGCCCTGAGCGCTGTATGATACGTAGTGCGGGGGCCTGGGGCAGACTAGCAGGAAGCCGAAACCTCAGGCTCCTGTGCTTTGATCAGGGGGGGGGGCGACCGCAATCCCCCCCGACTTTGTACTTTGTGGGGCCCTGGACTGGACCAAGAATGTTGGGTCCAACTCGGGGATACAATGGGATACACTGTAGGGGGGGGGGGGAGGGGTGCGTCCGAACAGCCCGCTGGGGGTGTATCGCCGAGTTCCCGTTCTTATCTGAGCGGCCTGATTTCGGGGGAAAGAGAAATCGCCTGAGGTGTTTCATGACGACCATTGCGGCCCCCCGGCGATGCAGACACAGCAGCCATCCGCGCTGGACCCCCTGGCGGCACCTCTGACGTCGCCCCTGGCACGCTTCGAGCGCCAGGGGAGGGATGGGGCGTGAGGCTCCTCCTCCTCCTCCTCCTCCTCCTCCTGCTCCTCCTCCTCCTCCTCCTCCTTCTTTCCTTTCCGCCTCCTCCTGCTCCTCCTCCATTCCTGTTTCCTTTTGCATAATTAACTCCTCCCTGTCGCGCTCCGAGGCCAGTCGAAGGGCGGACCAGGCGTCTCGCCTTAGACTTCTTACAATGTATGAGCGTAAAGCTGAAACTTGACAACATGTTCCCAAATGGAGGGCGCGTCGCTTTCAAACCAGGGGTCTCGCCTTAGCGCCGCGTACATTCATTCACAAAACCCCTGGCGTACATACATCGGATCGCTCGAAGCAAAAACAATGATTGAATGATCCACAATGCCCTTGAACGCTTCGCCAAATAACGTCGGGACCTCCGGGGACCGCGTATTGAAATAATCACGACATCGAATGTCTGGGGACGTTTCCATTTCTCGTGGGTGGATACAATCGAAATCTATACTAGGGTCGCGCTGCAAGGACGCAAGACCCTTGGACGGTCCTTGGGCGTCCCAGTTGAACACTTTCTAGCGGCATGCTGCCGAGCAATCTAAGGACGCAAGGATGCCCTTGGGAAGGCTATCCATCCTTGTCCGTCCACGGGGCGACTAGAAGCACGGCTGGGAACACACCTGCCTGTGCCTCATGTGTTCAGCCCTGTGCCTGACTGCCGATGGGTTTATATACCCGGCCGCCCATGCCGCCGCGCACGTTCGCTTTCACGTGTGCAAGAGATTCGAGGATTGAGGGCGAATCGCTTTCAACATGTGGCTCCCGCCGTAGCGCCGCGCACATTCGCTTCCAGGAATTGTAAGAGTTTCGCTGACTCTCACGGGTAGCATTCCAGAATGGCAATTGTAAGGACTGCCAGGGCGCAACAGTTACGTTGACTCGAGGTGTTGAAGTCCCAGGAACAGTTTTCTGGCACGATTCGGGATTGTCAAGACGCAACAGTCAGGTTGACTCGTGGCGTTGAAGTCCTGAGAATGGTGTTCTGGCACGCGTCAAGATTTTCACACGGTTGTCCCCAAAGGGCGCACTTCCCTCAATGGAAATGAACCCTTGTAGGGGCCTATGAAGAGGGAGATTTCAGGGAGGGTGTGTTCCAACATCGTTGATGAGCCTTGGGTTTACTCTGGTCCTCCTCCTACTCCTCCCCTCCTCCTTCTCCACCTCCTCATTCTCCTGCTCCTCCTCCTCCTGATCTTCCTCCTCTTCCTCCTCCTCCTCCTCCTCCTCCTCCTCCTCCTCTCAGGGGCCACATGAGGCGTCTAGCCTTCGCGACAAACGCTGTCAAGTTGAACTGCGCTGGCAAAGCTGGCCCTTCCTCGTGGTCCACGTCAACGCCCAGCTTCTCGCCCCTGGTCCTGTCGACTGTAATCCAGAACCTCCACGCGCGCTCACCATCTCTCCAATCTCTCAAGGTTGGACGAGGTCAGAGGAGGAGGAGGAGGAGGAGGAGGAGGATCCTCATCCTGCCCCTGCTATGGCTGCCGCGCCAGAGCTCCCTTTGTCTGACACTGCTCGAGCCGCTGCCCGAGCTTGCGGCGACCCGCGACCCCCCCATCCAGCGCGAAGCGCAGGCGCGCGGCACGGGGCGTGCCTCCGAGCTCTGGTGGGACAACAACAATGCAGATATTGGGGGCCTCAAAACCGTGCGGTGACTGACCGTGCGGTGACCTCGGAAAGACCTCATCGCACGGAGGGTGAGGAGGACGAGGAGGAGGAGGAGGAGGAGGAGGAGGAGGAGGAGGAGGAGGAAGAGGAGGAGCAGCAGGAGTCCGTCACCGCACGGCTCTGGGACCCCGGAGGCCTCCGTCCGCCCGAGACGCCCAGGAGAACGGGCCGAGAACTCCAGAACCGTGCGGCCGCACCGAGCCCCCGCTGACTGACGACTCCGAGTTCCTTCAGAAGCGTCGGGGGGGCGTCACCCCCGCCGACAGCCCCACATCGACCCCGTCGCGGGCAGCCGCCGCGCGCCAAAGGCGCTCCGACCCCCATCGCGTCGCGACGGCGAGGCGAGGTTGACCCGCGCCAGGGGGGACAGACCCCCCAACGCGAGCTAAGAAACCCAGAGTACGCCATGTGGCCACCGCACCCCGTTTGGGGGGCCCCCGGCGGCACCGCTGCTCCCCGGACCTCTTCCGGAAAGCTTCCCGACCCTGCAAAGTTCGGCCGTGGCGCAGTGGCCTCTCTCCATAGGGCGAGCAGCGGCACCGCCACCGCCTCCTCCGCGGAGCTCGGAGGGGGCACGCCGCCCGAGGCCCGAGGGCCGAGGCTGCGGGGCCCGCGCCTCCGCGCCGGAGCCGCGCGGGATCCGACCCGCTGCGCCTGGGACCGGAGAGCGCCCACCGCCTCCGCGCGCCTCTCCGCGCAGACCCCCCCCCCCCCCCTGGTGCGCGCCCTCGGCTCGAGGGGGCCGCTGCGAGGGGCGCAGGGCGGGGGCTCTCCAGAGGGGCCGCTGCGAGGGGGCTCTTCAGAGGCAGAGCAGAGTGGAGGGTCGCAAGACCGGCACCCTGGTCCTCCTGCACCTTCGCCTTCGCCTCCTGGGTTCAGGTCGGGCATGCCCCTCTACAAGCAGACTTTTGACGGCAAATCAAAAATACTCAAAAAAATCCCAAATGCCCAAAAATACACCAAAACAAGTCGTCCCCATACTACATGTTGCTATTTTTGAATGTTCCTCCTGCAATAGGACACGCCCGACGTAAAACTAGGTGACTCGGTGTTGCGGACGGTTCTCCTGATGAAAGGTGGCGCCCTCGACCCCTCCCGCCGCTGAGCGGGCGGGAGAAACACACAAAAACCGAGAGAGGTAACAAGAGAGATAAGCAGGAAGGAGGAAGGATACCTGTGACCAGAAAGGAGGGAGGAAGAAGAGGTAGCTAAGCTCTGGCGCTGCGCGGGTGCAGAGATGGAGCGAGTGTGGGCCTTCGCCTCCCCCTCGTCTGCGAATTGCGCACAGTTGAAGGAAGTGTAATGGTTTACAAACGGCGATGCATGTGAGGTAAAGCCTGCATGCAGTGGTTAAGGATGGCGCGGGGGCGCATACATTGGATGCGGTGTGAGCCAATGGCACGGCGCCCTAGCCCATTCCTGACTGCCTGACAGGACGACTGCACAGTCGAAGAGACAGGACGAATACGCACAAATGTCATTTGACAATCCATTTCAAAATTTCCCCAAACGGAGCGACGTCTGTTGGCGGTGCGCACGAAGGTGTCTGGCGAAGGGGAGCCTATGAACGACAGGAGATATCTCACAAGCACCCCAGCCTTCTGAAAACCTTCGTAGAAACCTGTATTCCCTTGTGGCAAACCTTTTTCTTCAGAAGGCTGTCCTGCTCGCTCCAGCCTGGAGATTCCGGAAAGAACCCGGACCTGCATCCCCCGGGTTTCCCCTGCCACTGAATCGTTTTCTGATGGCCCCAGGGCCCAAGGAGGGCCCAGAGAGGCCGGAAGCGGCGTAAAGAACAATCAGGACGGCTCTCCCACGGGAACCTCTGCTTCTTGGTGACTTCTGTGCGCCGCCAAAAATATCCCCAAACACATTACGTCGTCGCTTCCTGGCAACAACACAACCAGAGCCCTTGGCCCCGTCGTGCCGGTCCGTGCTCGGCATCCTCTGGAGCCGGTTTGGCCCGTGCTCCTCCCTTGTGTTCGTTATCCTCCTCGTTCTCCTCGTCCTCATCCTCCTCCTCCTGCTCCTCCTCCTCCTCCTCCTCCTCCTCCTCCTCCTGGCTCTCCTCCTCGCCATCCTCCCCCTCCTCCTCCGCTTCCTCCACCTCCTCCTCCTCCTGCTCCTCCTCCTCCTCCTCCTCGGCATCCTCCCCACCGTTCTCCCGGGCGTTGCCAGAGGTGCTCCCGAGCGAAGGCACACCGAGGATTGAGGCCCCGACCCGAAATTCTTGCTCCTTGACGGCGGCCAAGTGGACGACAACGACGACGACGACGACGGCGACGACGACGACGACCATCACCACCACCATCACCACCACGAGCACGACCACGACGGCGGCCACGAACACCACGGCGTCGTTGACAACGCTGCCGACGACCTCGGCACGATGACGACTTTGCTGACGACGACGGCGACGGCCACGGGCATCGTTGGGCCGACCCGGGCTGAACTCTGTGGTCGCTGGCGCGGCGGACGCAGCGTGTCCTCTCGCGGCCTGGGGGGCCGGAGGCAAGCGCGGCGGGCCTTCTCCTCGGTGCCGTCCTCCTCTTCCACTTACTCGTCATCGCCCGTTTCGTCCTCTCTCCTGTCGTCGCTCCCGTCTTCGTCCTGCTCCTCGTCCTCGACCACCTCGTCGCCTAGATCCTCTTCGTCTCCGCCCGCCTCATCCACGCCCTCGTCCCCTCACCCTCGTAGTCCTCGTCATCCCCCTCCCGGATATCTGAAAATGATGCTACGCCATGTCCGCGACCTCCTCTGGTCCTACATTATCCGTCTCCTCCTCCTCCTCCTCACCCTCCTCCTCCTCCTCATCCTCCTCCTCCGCGTCCTCCTCCGCGTCCTCCTCCTCCTCCTCTTCTTCCTCCTCCTCCTCCTCCATATCATCATCACCATCATCACCATCATCATCATCATCATCATCATCATCATCATCATCATCATCATCATCATCATCAGCATCATCATCATCATCATCATCAGCATCATCATCATCAGCATCATCATCATCAGCAGCAGCATCAGCATCAGCAGCAGCATCATCATCATCAGATACATCATCATCAGCAGCAGCATCATCATCATCGTCGTCGTCATCATCGGCATCATCATCATCATCATCATCATCATCATCATCATCATCATCATCATCATAACCACCATCATCAACATCATCATCAGCATCAGCATCATCATCAGCATCATCATCAGCATCATCATCAGATGCATCATCATGAGCATCATCATCATCATCATCATCACCATAATCATCATCATCATCATCATCATCATCATCAGTTGCATCATCATCAGCACTATAATCATCATCAGCATCAGCATCAGCATCAGCATCAGCATCAGCATCATCAGCATAATTATAATCTCAGCAGCATCATCATTATCATCGCCAGCATCAGCATCAGCATAAGCATCAGCACCATCATCATCAGCATCATCAGCATCGTCATCAATCATCATCAGCATCAGCATCATCAGTATCCCCAGCAGCATCGTCATGATCGTCATCACGACCACCACCACCACCACCACCATCATCATCATCACCAATCATCACTATCAGCATCGGCAGCATCATTATCAGCAGCAGCATTATCACCATCATCTCATCATCATCATCATCATCATCATCATCATCATCATCATCATCATCATTTACCGCACCATCATCAGCAGCAGCATCATCGAAATAAACAGCAGAAACAGCAGCAGCATCATCATCAGCATCGCCAACATTTAGTTACCAACAGCATCATCATGATCAGCATCATCACCATCATCAGCATCAGCAACATCATCATCATCAAACAACCACCATCATCACTAGCATCATCATCAGCATCATCATCACCATAATCATCATCAGCAGCAGCATCAGCATCATCCTCTTCAGCATCAGCATCATCACCATCAGCCTTCCTCGTCCTGCTGACCCATACAATCCTCCTTCACATATTATACTTCCTCTTCCTCCTCCTCCTCCTCCTCCTCCTCCTCCGCCTCGTTTCCTCCTCCTCCTCCTTCCTCACAAACGCTAAATGGACCCAAATGAAATGCAGGCGGGAATGACTCCCTGCTCCAACCTGAAACCAGGACCCCATAAGATTCGATGAAAGTCAGCAGGCACCTTGCTTCGGATTGATGTCTCTCTCGCCCTAGGAAGCACTAATTCATCCGTAAGCTCTAAGTGCTTCAGGTGGCTCCTACTGAAGCGGCCACGATACAGTCGGCCTTGATTGGACAGGACACGCGAGAGGACGCAAGACCCTTCCGGGGCCCACATTGCCATGGGAGTGCAGGAGGCATGGGTCGCGAGGCACAGGACACAAAGGTACCCTTGATTTGGCAGGGTCGACCTACTAATCTGGGCCGACTGTACATGAGCATGCGGCACGAACCAACACTGTCGCACGAAAACGGTGCGCGCGACGCCCCAGATAATCCCCCCCCTCCCTCGGAAGACAGAGCGCAGTCTCACACCGCGCCGGCGAAGGAGGTGCCTTGCCGGGCCCCCACAGCCATGGCTAGGAGCATGGCTCTGATGCCTCCGCGCGCCCTGGTCGCATGCACGATTGAGGACTATGTGCTCAGCGGGTGACCGCGGTGGGCAGCCATTGGCGCCAAGAAGCCCTCAACCGCATTGCTCACCATTACCCACCAAGCAAGCGGGCAACGCTAGCAACGCTAGCACGAAGGCGCCCCCCCCCCAGAACTTCTAGGCCAAAGGGCAAAGTATGGCCCTGGAGAAAATGCAGACGGCGGCCGTACGTCAACATTTGCCCTGATCTTCAGACAACAGAAACCTCACATGGTGATCTCATTAAGTGTGGTAACGCCATGCTTTGCTGTAAACAGTTTGGGGTGGTGCCTTTTACGCAGCTGTCAGATGTCGTTTCACGCGCGTCTCGCCATGCGGCGCGATGTGCGATTCTCAAATATGGAAGTCCACGAATCCATATGTGCTGCCTTCACGACGTTTTCTCCATTTGCGCAGTTCAATGTGTGCGGGCCGCCGATGATCATGCCGACACTTCGCATGCCGATTCAACATCGATGGTTAGCCGAGCGCGAAGACAAGACCGCGGAGTGTTGTCATTAGCAATGGCTGTGGATGGTGAGCGCAGAAAGAGAAGAAAAAGAGAACCACCCGAAAACTGCGCTTGTGAGGCCAAAACTTCGGAACACAAATCAGCCGTCGCTATCGTTGCTTCGTGGCGTTACATGCCTGGTCCTGGGGGCGACCCCAGACCTGCCCAACAGCCACTGTGGCCAAGATGACAAGGGGGGGCATCCAACCTCCACCCCGAAACCGTCAACCATCCAACCTGATCGTGACTGGGGAAACCAAAAGGTACCAATACCGCAACTCCCCCCGAACCTCTCCCTGGGTGCGTTTTGACTATGATTTCGGGGCGAATCCAGCGGTGACGACGAAGGCCTCCCAGGAGGCCAAAAATTGGGAGAACGTTCGGACAGGTAGCAAGTTGTCGTGACTGGGGAAACCGAAAGGTACCCGTACTGCTACTCCTCGTACCTCTACCAGGGTTCGTTATGACCATCATTTCGAAACAAATCCACTGGCGACGACGAGGGCCTCCCAAGAGGCCGAAAAAGAAGAGGTTCAGGGGTAGAGGCACGGGTACCTGGGCCAACCTTGTCGTGAAGGTTTGTTTCGGCCGACGACAAAAAAACCTCCGTCCGATGTTCCAGCAGCAGCCTGCCCGCAAGGCGGCGGCACCGCATCGGGGGCAGAAGGGCCGTGGCGCCTCTGGTCTATCGCGCTCGGAGGCGTGCAGATCAGCAAGCGTGCCTCCGGATGCGCCCAACCGTTGTTGCGGCTGCTGTTCCTCTTCGTGTTTTGTTGCATCCCTTTCATCCTTTGCCCCCATCCTTCTCCCCACTTGCCCATCACTGCTCCCCCCCTTCACCTCCAGACCCTCCTTCCCCCCGCCCCCTCCCCCCCAAGAAAAAAACACACACACAGACAGGAAAGCGGGGAAGGTGAGCATGTGGAGGAACAGGGAAGAAGAGGAGGAGAGGAGGAGGAGGACGAGGAGGAGGAGGGCGAGGAGGAAGAGGAGGAAAAAGTGGATGAGGGGGAGGTGAAGGAAGAAGGGGAAAGCAGTGGGAGGAGGGAACACAAAAAACAATAGTTCGCATCGGCGCTTACGAGCTGTCTCCGCACGGCGGCCGCGGCGCGCGCGCGTCGGGGGCTGCGCGAGGGCGGCAAGACCGCTGGAGCGTCTCTCGCAGACACAACAACACCAAATCCAAAGCGGCCCCCCGGTCGCCCGCGGGGCGGGCCCCCTCGCCCCCGACGCCACCCCCACGCCTGGACCCAAGGCCCCGACGGGCCTGGCCAGACCAGGACGCGCTGGGAGTGGCGGGGGCGCGCGTTGCGGGGGCAGCGGGTGGCCAAGCGCCCCCGGGTCTGAACGCCCTTGCCCCGCGCCGCCGCGGCGGACGCCGGCGTCGGCTCGAGGCTCTAAAACCATCAGCTGACGGGCTGCGGGGGACTGGGCGAACACGGAGGGGCCCCCCCCTCCCCCCCCCTCCCCTCCCCTCCCCTCCCCTCCCTCCCTCCTCCCCTCCCTCCCTACCGCCCCTCCCTGCCTCCCCCCCTCCCTACCGCCCCTCCCTCCCTCCCTCCTCCTCCCTCCTCCTCCCTACTCCTCCCTCATCCTCCTCCTCCTCCTCCTCCTCCTCCTCCTCCTCCTCGCCCCCGCCCTCGTCGCCTCGTCGGCGAAGAGCTGAAGCACTCCGGAGCGCAGACCGCGCGGGCTCACGGGGCCCCAAGTACGGGAGCCATCAGCTAGGCGCCCAGCGGCCATCGCACGACGGAGCTCCATCTGGACCTCGACCGGCACGGGCCCTCGGCACCCCCTCGCCGAGGACTGCCGCAAGGGGCGCCCGCAGCCCTCGGGCGGGCCGCGGCAACCGCCCACTTCGCGAAGGCGGCCAGAGCCCCCCACCTCGGGGGCGGGGGCGGCATCGCGGCAAGAGGGGGTGGCCCTCCGAGGAAGAGGCGCGTCGCCGTCGGCGTCTGCGCCGCCCCCCTCTTCCCCCGCCACCCACTTGTCCACTGGATGGTAGGGGGTCGTTCGCTCCGCGCGCGGGAGCGGCCCCTCCCTTCGCCGAGGGCCCACCCGTGGATCGCAACGCAGCCATCGCGCAAGGGCGCGGGCCCCCGAGGGGCGCGGCCAGCAGGATCGGCCGCGAGCGAGAGGCCCCGAAAAGGCACTACCCCCCTAGCGCCCCCGCCAGCCAGAAGGCACAGAAATACGTACCAGCTCCATATCTTCGACCTTCAGGTTGATGACCACCAGCACGGAGGCGGCGGTGCTCAACGGGCGGGATGCCGCGCCGAGCAGAGCAAATCGACCACCTGGCAGGAATCGACCAACCCTGGGAAGCCATCGGCCACCTCGTGGCTGGGGTCCTCGACCGAGCGGAACGCCGAGGGATGTGCCAGCATCGCCGTCGCCCGAACACCAACGATCGCACTTGCCGGCCGACGGCGCCTCGAACGGGTGAATTCGGGCCCGACGGGCCCCTCGGGGATGCGACCCGCCTTTCCCGCTGGGTCGGAAGCGGCCGCCATGCCCGACGGCCTCGCGCAGAACACCACGAGGGCCTGCTGAGGGGACTAGCCCTGGCGCGCGGCTCGGGGCGAGCTGCGAGCCAAGGCACGAGCGCGATCCGCAGCCTGAACCCCTGGACCGTTGGCCGGGGCGCGCCGCGCGTCGCGACAATGCCCTGCAGGTGCACCGAGCGTTTGCCGAAGGGCAGTCGCCCCCACCAGCGAGCCGCTAGGGCCCCGATGCATCAGCCGCCGCAGAGGCTGCCGTCCTTGGCGCCACGCCCGAGGAGAGCAGCAGAGGAGCAACTCCGCTGTTCACGTTCACCGTCAGGCGAAGGGGCAAGCCGAACCCGAGCTGACGGAAGGGCAGCGCCACCCCCCCTCCCCGTGCCGACGTGGGCGGCCCCAGGAAGCCCCGCATCGCGGACCCTGAGGTCCGCGACTTCTGGGACGGGCTGGCTAACGGACGGGCTCGTACAGCGCGGCCCGCATGCTCCGAAACAGAACCTCGCCCGCCCCCTCGATGACCACCGCGGGGCCGCGGGGGGGCACTGGGCCGAGAAACTGCAGGGGCAGCCGGGGCGCAAGGGGGCAGGATAATAAGAGGGGTCACTATCCCAACGGCGGCATAGGGTGGCACCCAACAGGCAAGGCATCGCTGCCAGAGAAAGTCGCCAGGATCGGTACCACACACACACACACGCGCACACACACATACACACACACAAACAAACACACACACACACACACACACGCATTGCCCAAACATGCACCCAACAGGTATGCAACAGTTGGCGCCACCAACGAGCCAGCCCCGCTGGAGTGCGGGCATGGCGCCCCCTTGGGCGACAGGGCGCAGGTGACGGCAGGGAAGAAGAGGAGAAAAAAAACACGATGACGAGGATGACGATGTTGATGCTGATGATGCTGATGATGATGATGAGGAGGAGGAGGAGGAGGAGGAGGAGGAGGGGGACGATGGCAATGACGTCGACGATGGTGAAAAGCTGGACCAACATCAATTTTGCAAGACCGTTTTAATGTTGACACCGATGGCCGACTCCGTGGCACCTTCCCCGCGCCAGAACGACACCAGACCGGTGGACCCCCCCATCGCGGAACAAAATATCCGAGGTCGTGACGTTGGACAACTTGACGCGCAGGTGCTGCCAACATCCGTCCATGCGAACGGTTTCCTTGTAGCCCGCGTCGACGATCACCCCTTTGGCCTCGGCCGGGCCATGACGGCCGCCACGTTCACCCCATCGGGCAGCACCCACGGAGGGCGAGGTGTCGGTCAAGCTTGCGCACGATGCCACCTGGCACGACCTCCCACGAGCCCACAAAACTAGCGGCTGCAGCGCAGTTGGCACCACCCAGGGAGGGCAGGGTCACGATTGGGCCCTCTTGGAAAGTTACTCCGATGGCCGCCCCACATACGGACGGATTTGACAACGATGATATGTATGGCAATACCCTGGGAGGGCGCGGCCTCGTTTGGATCCAGGCATGACGTCACTCGTCTGGTCCTCCCACGAAACCCACGAAACTGGCGACCCTTGCACAGTTGGCACCACCCATGGAGGGCGAAGTCTCGTCCGGGCTCCCGTATAGCATCACTCCGCTGGCCCTCCCAACGAGCTCACTAAAGTGGCGACGGTTGCACACTTGGCACAGCCCAGGGAGGCGAGGCGGCGGGCAAGTAGAGGACAGGAGGCAGGAGGAGACGAGGTAGGAGGCTGGTCGGATTATACGTGTCTCTACAGATCGCACGATGGGAAGCACATGTATGACGCACGTGCCACCCACGCCACCGGGGGAACTGCCGCTCTACGGGAGGCAGGCAAGGGGTAAGAGGCAGAAGGGCAAAGGGGGGGAGGAGGCGGGAGGACGAGGAGAACGGGGAGCAGCAGCGTTCTACGCACGACGAGGGCCCAGCACAGGCGGTGTAGAACAAAACCAAAGGAGAAGGGAGGAAAGGACAAGGGAGGAGGAGGGAGGGGGGAGCGGGGGATGTTGTCATTATGTGCGTGGTCCTGGAGGGAGGAGGAGGAGGAGGAGGAGGAGGAGGAGGAGGAGGAGGAGGAGGGGGCCGTTCCTTTCTCAGTGGTGTCTCAGTAATGTAAGGAAGTGGCCTGCGCTCAGGCCACAGCACCATTCTCAGCGGATGTGGTTAGCGCAGAGGATGGAGAAAGGTTCCCAACCAGGGAGTTGACCCGCGCTGAGGCGAAAGCACCAATCCAGATCACCAGAGATGCAACCGACACTCAAGCGAGAGCACCATTCCCCATACCAGGCCGGTGGCTGGAGCTGAGGCGAGAGCAGCATTCCGAATTATACGTTGCCCGCGCTGACGCGAGAGCGCAATTCCAAGTCATGAATGTGGCCAGCGCTGAGGCGAGACAACTCGTCCCTACCAGAGAGTTGGCCTGCGCTGGAGCGAGAGCACTACATCGGCGCTACGAAAGTTTTGACCCTTTTGTGTTTTCAGCTAAACAACGCCTGAGCATCACATTGGTTATGAACACCACGACGGCCGTGAGCATCACTCGTCGTCGTCGTCGTCGTCGTCGTCGTGGTCGCGGTCGTGGTCGCGGTTCTGATCGTAGTCTTGATTGAGGAAGTCCTGGGCGGAAGCGCCATTTCGAAATGGAACCCGAAGGCTTCGAATTCTGTTCTGGAGGAAGTCCTGGGCGGGAGCGCCATTTCGAATTCTGTTTTGGAGGAAGTCCTGGGCGGGAACGCAATTTCGAGTTCGAACGGAATAAATGCCGAACCTCATTTTGCAGGAAGTCCTGTGCGGGCGCGCCAATTCGAAATCGAGGCAGAAACTTTGCGACTTCTATGTTTGAGGAAGTCATGTGCGGGAGCGCCATTTCGAAATCTAAGCAGAAAAGGTTTCGAATTCTATGTTTGCGAAACTCCTAGGCGGGAGCGCCATTTCGAAATTGAACCCGAAAATTTCGAAATCGTTCGAAATCGTTTTTCCGGGGAAGTATCAAGCGAAACCGCCGTTTCGAAATGGCCACACCGTTTGGCATTTA